TCACAGCACCTGGCTTCAACCTGGCCCAGCCTAAGCTGTTGAGGAGTGAATTAGTGGGTGGGAGTCCTTTCTGTCTGTCTGCCTCTTTCCGTGTCTCTACAATAAAAGAAAATTGAAGAACAGCATTGAAAATAAAAAGAAACTGCATAATCGTGAGTGGACCTATAGACTCTGCTGATGTTATGTCTCATTTTTTTCCCACAACCTTCCTGTAAGCTTGAAACACAGCAAGTCCTAAGCAGTTACACACATACCCACAAGATTAAACCAGCTATTACTCCCACCTCTCACTGAAAATGAGCAAAGATTATTAAAAGAAGTCGAGGCCACAGATTTCACATAGAAGTACTAAACTACCCAAGGAGATAAGTTGAAGCTAAAAGCACATATCTTTCATCAACAATGAGGTCAGTCACATATGATGGCAAAACAATCTTCTACATGTATGACTTTATTTGCTTTTCAAGGCACTGCTATGTGATAAGCCCACATGTTCAATGGAAATAAACAGATGGGAAAGCCACAAAATTTGGAGCAGGTATCCTGACTTAAAAGCTGTTATTCTTTCCATGACACTCTATTCTTATTTTTCTGTTCCAAAGTGACAGCTGCCACTGTGATGCCAGTATCCCAAATCAGAAGGCTGCTTCCAGTCCCAGCTGCTCTGATTCCCATTCATCTTCCTGTGATGCACCTGGGAAAGTAGCAGAGGATGGCTCAAGTGCTTGGGCTCCTGCCACCCATGTGGGGGATCCAGATGGAGTTCCTGGCTCCAGGCTCCAGCCTGATCCTGTTATTGTGGCCATTTGGGGGAGTGAACCACCAGATGGGAGATATTTCTCTCTCTCTCTCTCTCTCTCTCTCTCTCTCTCCTCTCTGTCCTTCTGTCTCTCTCTCTCTTTCTCTGTTATCTGCCTTTCAAATAAATCAATCTGTTTTTAAAAATCAATACTGCCTGTGAATTACCAACATTGCATGTGTACTGAAATGTATGTGTGTGTATATGTGAAAACATGTACACATCTACATTCTAGCACACAGAACTTGAAAAGGGTAAGTTAGAAACTATTAGCATAAGCAGCCTAACTATTCAAACTGGACACCTGTATTAAACAGCAAATCCTAGAGATTAAAAAGAATTTCTTAAACTTTGAAACTTCTTTCAAAAGAAATGTGGTTTTCCCCCCAAAATTTCTCCATTCACTGGTCCTGGGGAATAGACCTATTTCTGCAAAGTTCTACGTCGTCCTCCTTGGAGTGGGACAAGCAACCCATGCCCCAGAAACAGGATCTGTGCATCAGAGAAGAAGCCTCTGTCTGGTGTCCATGCAGGTGCCAGAGCCCTGGGCATTTACCAGGCTCCTCAACCTGACGCCTGTGTCTTCCCCTCCCGGCTCCAACCTCCTGCCAACGAAAGCACACTTGAAGGAGGTGGCGGAGGTGGCTGGGCTTCTTGCCCCTCCCCCAGCTCAACTCCTGGTCAGGCTCAATTTTCCATACCCCTTGGGGGTTGACTGTCACCTTCAGGGAAAGAACATGAAATTTCCAGGGTAGGTTTGGAGATACTATTCTGGAGGTGGCCTCTGTGTGTGTGTGTGTGTGTGTGTGTGTGTGTGTGTGTGTGTGTGAGAGAGAGAGAGAGAGAGAGAGAGAGAGAGAGAGAGAGAGATGCGTGTCCGCGGAGCGATGGGCATCTGTTCATCTCTTCCAACCCTTGGGCGCGCTGGCTGGGGAAATCCTCAGCACCCACGCTGGGCTGCTGCGGCCACCATAGGCGTGGATGCCCCGATGGCAGAGTCACAAGACTTTCCGTATGAAATTGCTGGCGTGAGCGGAAAACTCCAGCCGTGCTTAAGAGACAGAAAGGCCTAGGGAGGCGGGAGGAGTTAAGGGAAAACAGGGGATAGCACAAAATGAGCCACACTGATTCCAGAACAAGGCACTGGGCGAAGACTTGGAAAACCTAAAAGCTCCCTGCGGATGTTCGGCGGTGCGCTCGCTGCGTCGGCAGTGCGCTCTAGCCGCGGCGCTGAGGGTGGCGGCGCGGTGTCCCCGGAGCCAAGCGGGCTGCACCGCCATGGGTGGGCAGAAGGGAGTCGGGCCCGCTGGGGGGTCTGGAGAGAGATGAGATGGCCTTGCACAAGAGGCGACCCCGCTCTGGAGCCCCCGCCCTCGGAGTGGGCGCGGCGCTGTCCGGCCCGGTTCCTGGCTGTGGCAGGTCCCGGGCGTGGAGGTTTTCGCGGCCGCCCGGCCCGGTACCCACAGAAAAGCGCTGCGGGGGAGGGAAATTTTCTGGAGCCCGGGCAGCGTGCTTCCGAGGGCCGCAGCTGGGAACCCGGCCAGGCGCAACCCGGGCTGGGACACCCCTCTCCCCATCGACGGCGCCCGCGCTGTGGCGCTGGCAAATGGTCTCCGCGCGACTGCGGCTGCAAACCCCGAGTCTCCGGGGCAGAAGGGTCGCAGTGGGGGGGGAGTGGGCCGCAGACACCTTAGGATTTTCCCGCGAGGAGCGAGTTTCGGTCCCGGCCCTTCCGCGCCTGCGAACTCGCCAAGTGTGCGCTCGTCTCCCGGGTTCCGTGACTCCCGCTGCAAGCACACCCTGGATGGAAGCAAAGGCGCCCCCATCCATAGACGCCTCGAAAAAGCGAAGAAAGAAACAAGAACCTGCCTGGAGTTCGCAGCCCATAGACCATAGACCGTAGCAGACGCCGGTGCGGCAGCCCTTCGGCTCTCCCTTTCCCCAGTCCTTGCGCCCCGCGGTGGCAACATGCAAAGCCCGAGCCATCCGCTTGGACTCCAAGTTCGAGTCACCAGGCATGGACTTGGGGGGACCGGTTTGACTTGGCGTTCGCAGGACCCGGTGCAGCTGTGCGCCCCAGACCTCAGCTAGCTCGGCAGACGGACTCGGGGGCGGCATCTCAGAACCCTCTCCCCCTCACACACACTTCTAGAAAGCTCCGGACATTGGAGAGGGTTGCAACGCATCGGAAAGGTTCAAGATGCGCTGGCAAAGTGTCTGAGTTTGCCTCGTCTGGGCTGACGACAAAACTAGCTTGCGGACACCCTTTCCCTGGTCCAGGGGAGCGAAACACCCGCCTGGGTGGCCCGGGCGGCAGCTCAGCCAAGGCTTGGTGTTCTTCCTGGTGGTCTGATTAAGTTACAGAAAACGCCAGGTAGGCTCGGCGAGTATCTGCCTAACTCCTTCCGAAAATAATTCCAGACTGGGAGGAAGCCCTTTGCAAACAAACAGCAGAATGTGCCTACCTTCTTCTGAGCCTCAGTTCATCTCCGCCTCAATCCACTACAGAAGCTGACGCTGCCTTTGAAGGGGGGGGGGGGGGCTCAGAAGAATCAGGAGAAAGGAAGAGGACCTTAGGGTGTTCTGGCAGTTAGGCCACAGGACTACCTGCGCCGATGTGTGTGTGTTGAAAAACAAAGCCATTCTTGTCCCAGAGGTCTTGTAAAGTCCAAGATTTGGACAGTTTAGTCTGCCTGCAGAGATTGGGGTTTAGGAATCTCTTCGAATTCAGTTTTCAGTCCCACCACCCTCCAAATCCTCCTCGATGCCTGCCATCAGATTTTCTTCACAGCCAATTTTGGTTCCTGTGGCAGGCTCCCTTTAGGTTCAGCCTGATTAACTCATCAGGTTAAGGGAAAGAAAGGAGTTTCCTAGTGCTGGGTGCACACTGAAGATAGTAGAACCTGCCTGGCTGATTATCTTAGAGATGCGACAAACTATCTGCAGGTCAAATGGGGTCAATGGCGATGCAGCGACACCCTGGTGGTGGACAGCAGAACTGGGATGCTGGACTGTTGTCACCACAGCTTGCGGGGGGGGGGGGGAGTGTGTCAGATCACCCAATTGTAGCCTGGGAGCACTGAGAGCAGCCCTCAGAGTCATGTAGCACCCACTCCCCGCCATGGCATTTGAGTGACCCCAAGGAAGCCAGCCAGCTTTCTCACCTCCCCGGGGCCATTCCGTTAGATAGCTCTTTTACCCCTACATCTCGTCTCTGCCTGCTCTCAGCACCAACTCTAACTAGCTTTGTAGTAGTCTTAAGACAATGAAGCCTCTAAAATTCTTTTAGAAAAAGTCATTGACAAGCCTGTAGTAAAGTCTTGGGTGTGAGAAGTCTCTCACTGCAAACCTTTTCCCAAGGGGTCCCCTTGGCTGTGAAGAAAGAAAACATGAGATGGCTCCTGATGACTGAGCCAGGGTAGTGTGCCCTAGAGCACTCAGAGTGATGATGGAGACACCCATGGATTAAGTGCATGCTACCCTAAGATCTAAAGGATCACCGTTCACTGGTTTTTATGTCTACAGAGCCCCATATGTGCGCTTGTTAATTAAGCATTGTCAGGCTACGGAGAGTATCCAGGGACTTCCTAGAGGAAAGGGTGAGGGCTGGAGGCCGTTCAGCAGGGTCTTCTGGGTCACCGTGCTTCAGGACTGCGTTTTGCTAGAGGCAGGCAGCTGTTGAGGCCTGCAGAAGACAGAGCTCTGCAGCGGGCAACTCTGCAGGCAAACTGCAGTCACGCGGTTCCACAGGAACTCGTCTCTCAGATCAGGACACCAAGCTGGAGGGCTCTGGAGAACTAGAACCTCTCCCATGTAAGCATCATGACTAGAACCTAACGTGGATGCTTCATCTGCCCTCCCAGACCCAGGCCTGAAAACGGCCTCTGGCCTTTTGTGAATATGCTGGCATATGTGAATATGTGAATATGTTGGCATCCTCAGAACCGGCTAGCTGCTGGCAGACACCTCTCTCTAAATGCTTTGCCTTTGATCAAGAAGCACAACACTTCCCAGCTACCGCCTTCCCAAGGCTGGACACTGGTGTAAATACATCTGAATGGAGCAAGGGGGCAAGGTTTGTCATTCCTCTTTCTCTCGCCTCTTCAGAGACGCTATGAAAATAAATGGTGTCTACTCAGAGTACAGCCCTTAGCTACCACCAAAAAAAAAAAAAAAAAAACTTTTTTAAACTTTCAAATAATTGCTTTGAAGAAAATAGTATTTTATTGTCAAAGCATCCAACATATCCGGATAAACTATAAAGTTTAATAAATCTTTCCAAGGATAAAAGAAACACATAACTATTCAGACTCCATTTCACTGGCACAAAATTACACTTTGTATTAAAAGGAAATACATATTTACATAATTGATGACATTCTTCATTGAAGTCCATAATCATTTCATGATACATGCACTTTCCCCTGGAAACTTAAATTGAATGGCGACCCCGTTTTTTATTCGTTTTGTTATTTTTGTAAGAACACAAACTGTCATCAAGATCGCAGAAAGCATCTCACCTTCCTCCTCTCCTTTATATCTAAAATAAATTTTGTCCTTACATATAGTTATTACATCTAAATTGTTAAGTGCTTAATAATTTAAGTAGAAACGTATGACAAATGCATCAATATGTTGCAATATATGACATTTTTAAAAATGTACCTTTGTTTTTGGGAAAGTGAAAATGCGTGCATTCAAAACAAAACCCCTTCTAACAACCCCCCAATCAGAAGTCCACCATGCTGTCTCCAGTGTGTGTCCCGAGTAAACATCTGAATGGGAGGGCTCCTCTGGGGGCGGAGCACGTGTGTGTGTGTGTGTGTGTGTGTGTGTGTGTTGAGCGTGCGGGTGTGCACCTGTGTTTGGGCGCAGTGCTGCGAGGCGCAAGGAAGTGGTGGCTGTCCTCGCGAGTTTGTTCCAGTAGTTGGGTGGACTGTGCGCGCGAGCGCGCGGGACGCCGGGGTGCTTTCCGTGTCAGTTATGCGAGGTCATGTGCCTGGAGAGGTGGTGGCGCTCCCTGAAGGACTCGTTGCAAATGGGGCACTTGAGTTTCTCCTCCCGCCGCCGCTTGACCAGGGGCTCCATCGCGTACTCCTTTTTGTGGTGCGACCTCATGTGGTACACCAGGTCGGAGGTCATGCGGAAGGAGGCGTTGCACTTGGCGCACCAGTTCTGCGCCGGCAGGCACAGCGAGGTGAAAGAGGGTGGCAGCAGCGTGAGCGCAGAGGGCAGCTGCAGCTGCAGGGGCCCCGCGGCGGCCGCGGCCGCCGCTGCTGCGGCCGCCGAGCTCTTGGGCCAGAAGGCGGTGGCGTAGAGGAAGGGGTTCTGCTTGGGTAGGCCGCCGCCGCCGCCGCCACCGCCGCCGGGCAGGGCCCCGCAGCCCCCGTTCAGGTCCGCTGTCCCCTGGAGCTTCACGGCCAGAGGGTCCGCGGCGGCGGGGTAGAGTCTGGTGGGGCCCACGCCGTCTCCAGGGTGGCAAGGCTCGAGCGCGCCCAGCTTCTGGCCCAGCACCAGCGGGGACAGCTGCGAGAAGGAGCGCGCCGGCTGCGAGAAAGCGCTTTTGCGCTCGTCGCCCGCGGCGCCCTGGCCACCGCCCGCGCTGCCCGCGGCCGCAGCGCCCGCGCCGCCCCCTGCGCTGCCGCCCCCTGCGCCCCCGCCGCCGCCGCCGCCGCCCGCACCGCCCAGCTGTGGCACCGAGGTGAAGGCGCTGCCCCGCGCGGGGCTACCGCCCTCCAACCGGCTGGGCAGCGCAGCCCCGGGCCGCGGGGCCAGCAGTTTCTCGGCGCCCGAGGGCGACGAGGCGGCGGGCGTGGAGGAGCCGCCGCCGCCGCCGCCTGCGTCCTGGTCCTCGGCGGCCGCTCCCGCGACGTCGGCGGTCGCCTCCTCCTGCAGGCTGGCGGCGCGGCCAGCCTTCTTCACCTCCACGAAGGCGCTGCGCTTTGCCTCGCCCGTCTCCGGGCTGGGCGGCGCGAAGAGGCGGCCATTCTCTTCCAGGCCGAAGTAGCTGCCCGAGGCGCGGTACTGCTGCGGGGTGCAAACCAGATCCTCCTTGGAGGCCGGCAGGGGCCGCTCAGCGAAGCGGGCCCGGCCCCCCACCAGCCCCGCGCCGCCGCCCTCGGTCGCCTCCTCCGGGAATTTCCTCTTCCCTTTGCAGCCGCCGGTGGCTATGCCGTCGGGACTCAGCTCCGCCTCCTGGTGGCCGCCGCCGCTGCCGAGGCCCTGGGCTGGGGAGCAGCTGCTGCCTCCCCGGGAGTTTTCCAGCTCCCGGGCCAGGTTGTGAAAGTCCGTGGATGGCTTGGCGTTGCTGCCGCCGGCCGCGGCGGGTGGAGTGCTACTGTCGGGTGTGGACGCCGGGTAGTGGTGGAGTGGGCCGGCTTTGCAGAACTTGGGGCCTGGACCCAAGGGTGCCTCCTGTTGCGGCTGCTGTTGGTCTTTGCCCCCGCCGCCGTGGTCCTTGGTGCCCACGCCACCGCTTTGCTCGTCCTGGGGACTCATTTCGGCGCTGTGCAGTCTCTTGGGGCAACGGAAACGCAGATGCGCCACATAGGGGAACTCGAACTGGAAACGTTGGCTGCATTCCAGGCATGTGTAAGGGGCCGACCCTGCTTGGTGAGCAAACACACGCGCGCACGCACAGCACACGGTTACTCAGCATCGTCGCCAGGCCAGTGTGCCAGCGTCCCCACACAAATCCACCTCCATCACTCGGGGCCGGAGCTCTCCAGCCTGATCTAACCACCCCTCCCTACCTGGGAGGAGTGCAAAAGTCAGCCCCCCTTTTGCCCCGGGTTCCCCTCACCTATCTGTCCCGGCCGCACGCAGGACTCCTGGGCAGCTCTCCCCAGGCCGGGCCAGGTGCGCCCCGCTGCTCCCCGCTGTTCTCCCCCGCTAGTGAAGGGCCCCCGCGGAGGCCGCGAGCTCAACCTACCATTCATTTTGCTGTGGGGTCTAGAGGGGCAGAGCAAGAGTAACTCAGTCAGTTCTTTCCCGTACCAAACTAGCAACTCCTCGTCTTTGGCAATCCTGCGGAGAGAGCGGTAGAAGAGCTGGCCGTTTTTGATGTAGGCTTCGAGGTTCTGCTCTTCCTTATCCCTGGCAGACTGGACCAGTCGCAGCCACATTAGACCTTCCGAGGAACCATTTGCTGCTGAAGTGTCGACCTGCAGTTTAAAATAGAAGAGAGCGGATGGACGAGGAGGAGAAGGAGGAGGAAGAGGAGGAGGGGGAAAGGAGATCTGTGTGAGTGTAAAGCCAGAGGAATCAGGACCTATCCGCGTTAGTCTTATCCAAGCAATTATCTGAGACCCAGCTTCCAAAAAAGTTGGCCCAATTGGGTACCCCGCCCTAGGCTGGCAACCGGTCGTCAAGATAACCATCCTTTGAAATAGCGCATCCAATCATAGAGATCGTTTAAATCGTCATTTTCATCTATTGGTTGAAGGTCAAATGAGGAAATTTCTTCCTACGATTAATGTTAGCCTCTTAATAATTTCTAAATCATCCCCCCTTGCATAAATATGGAGAAGTTTGTTTGTTTCAGAAACATAAAAGCAAGCTTAGATCTTAGAACTTCTTCTATGGCACTCTTCTTCCTAATTTTGGCCCAATTAATTGCTAGCTCTTCTTTGTAAAGGAAGAATGGGGAGTGAGAGGTCTTTTATCTTCAAACTCAAACATATGGATTCAATGATGACTTACTGTCAAAGCCATTAACATTCTTATTTAAATACAAACTCTGGGCACTAGCTAATGTTGCCAAAGAAAGCAATATTTAGGAGATGAGGAGGCCTCCTGGGTTGGAGGACACTGTACTCAATGATTCTAAGGGTACTCAGAGAAAGCCTTGGCCCCAGTTAAATCTCCCAAAGAGTTTAGGAAGTCAAGTTTATCACCAGGGAAGCCCAGAACCGAGGCACTGATTTAGACAATACTGGCATTCAAAAATCAAATGATGTCTTTTACCCGAGAAAATCAGCTGGCAATTTAATGTTTCTTTTCGGATTTTTGGCATGTAAACAAGGATTGCTTGCATCACTGCATTTTCTACATTCAGAACCTGTCTGCTCTTGTCAGGAGAATGACTCTTGGTCTGTTTGCAACAGAACATTAACCTCATACCCTACAAAGCACAGGTGAACACTTACCCGGAAGATGTAAGGAACTGTTCTCTTGTCTGTAGACTTGAGAGCTATGAAAGCTATGCTGTCGTACAGGGAAGTGTGGCTCAGGACACAGGGACCGAATATAGCATTCTCTGGGATGTCACAGGTGGTGTAAACGCTGGTAAAGATATCTGTGAGACATTGTTGGACAGCCTTGGCATCTCCATCCCAGATGCCTCGCTGCATGCCCGAGTCCTCCATCACTGGCGACAGATACACAGGACAAGGCAGAGAGTTAGGTGACTGCTTCTCCCACGATGAACCCAGGCAGAGCACTGCAATTCCTAGACAGATTTTTCTCATATTTGTCTAATTTTTGCGTGGCTTTTACTTAAAAAAATATGAAGCAAATTTCATGTGGCATATTTTAAAGATGCCAACTAAGGGACATTTCCTGTCTCCCCCTCCCTTCCTTTTTTTTTTTTTTTTTTAATATTTGGAACAGTAGTGAGATTCAGACACCGGCTGACTGGGAGAAAGGGCTGGGAAAGACTAGATTGTGTTTTGCATTCCCTTGACACTGGAAGGGACAAATTTTGGGAATGAGGTGAACCTGTAGGCTTTCCTGATGGAAAGACAGTCTAATTGTTGGGAAACGTGCCTCTCCTCCCATGTATTAAACTGGGTGCCTGGGAGCTGATTTTCTTCTCTTCTCCCGAAGAGGGGAGTAGCATCAGCAAGCAGGCGGAGACAGCGGAGCATAGCGAATGGATTTCCAGTGGAGTGTCAGGGCCACGAATTCCGTGTCAGCTAACCTTTCTCTGCAGCCTACAAGAAGGGACGTATGTCTGCTCATTACCATAATCCAACACTGTCCCTCCGAGGCTTTAATTAAAAGCAGCAAGCAGAGGTAATTATTTTTTTTCCGACATGCTTATTTATGGCTGAGGGTGAATCCCAGTTACCTTGTTATACAAGGGAGCGGATTGAGCCGCATGTGGCTCATGAAGCGAGCAGGTACAGGGCAGGCCTGAGGTGTCCCCTGTCTGAAATACCGTGTGTAATGACTGGTGAATCTCACTTCCCCAGATCTGACCCTGTTTGGGCAAGAGGGGGCAGCCCTGCTTGAGTAGTCCTCAGTGGGCTATCCAGCTGTTTAATCCGCAGCAATTTAGAAAGTAATGCCCCAATGGAGGGCTCTCTATTAAGCTGTCATAAGGGGACATTTACCTTCCTCTGCCATTGGACACCCCCTACAAGGCTTATCACAAAACAGGTACTTAAAATGTTAAACCAGCAGCATTGTTGATCCTTGCTGCCTAATCGAAAAATTGATTTTTTGCCCTAATAATGTTACCATTGGCAGCATGTTATGTGTTATGTATAATTTAAATAGGGAAAACTAGACAACATTTTCCCCTGAAAAGCTGCTCATTATGGGATACCATTAGTAATGTGCAAATTTTTTATTTTAACATCTATTAACCAATTAAACTTGCAAATGTGATTACTAGGTAGTACTTCTCCCTACTTCCAGCTAAGGGAGCCAGAAACTTTGGTCCCCCTCTTTTCCCATTCATTCCCGCTTATCTACCAAATGTCAACTGTTGGGGCTGTATCTGCCAGACAGCAGAAATAAGGAGAAATATCCATGAAGTACGAACTTAATTATGCTACACTGTCTGTCCCTGGGCATTTTTACCCCCACGTAAGGTAGCATTGCTTATTTCCAACCGCAAATTTTAAAAATATGTATCTTAAAATCCAAGAATTGCTCATCTCTTTTTTCAAACAAAATCTTCTTCGCATTTTCAATGTCCTGTCCAATTCAGGATTTTCTGCCTCAATTTCTCTCTCCCTCTTAAGAGTCTTTTTCACTCCAGCGTTGCATTGTGCCTGGAGGTCGCCCCATCACTTGGCTCAACAACAGGGACACAGGCATTAAAATGCAATTCTACCTAACAATACAGAGAAGGTCCTCGCTACGCCGCGCTAACGCAGCCCGCGTCGCCCTGGCAGCCGCCGCGACGAGCCCCGCACTGCTCACAGCCACCGCGGGCCGCGTACGGAGGCTCATCCTCTCCCGCGCGCCTGCCTTTTCCACCGCACAGATCGAAGCTCCGCGTCGCGACTGCTCTAGGCCTGGGCTCTCCTCCCCCGTGAGGGTCGTCCCCGGAGCCGGCTGGCCTCGCCCTCGCCTTTGGGCTGGCATTGTCTGGCGGCCGCGCGCCCCCCAGTCCCTGGCTCTTCCCGCAAACTGTTCCCCATCCCCTCCTCCTTTGTATAATCTTATTGGTAGTGGAGATCCCATCAACAATTATTTTCCCCGCTCTCTTCTGGATAATGAAGAGACGGCAGACAAAATTTTCCACTCTTCGCACCAGACCTGCCTCCCTCCCATCCCCCTCCCACCTCGACGCAAAAAGACTCACCAGGAATAAGGTCAGGATCGAATTGGCCAGATAAGGCCACCTGGAACCGGGAAATGCAACGAGGTGTCCTTTTTTGCCTATTGTATCAGTGTGTTTCCATGTCAAGGGGTGGTGGTGTTTCTGTCTTGTAGGCTCAGCCTAAAGAGAAAAGAGATAGATGCAGAGAGAAAGATGAAGGGAGATTAAGGAGAGAGGGAGAGGGGGAGAGGGGAAGAGGAGAGAGAGGGAGAGAGAGAGAGAGAGGCGGAGAGAGGCGGAGAGAGTTGTACAGATGGACCCGATGCAGTGACTGACTGGCACGCAGACACACACTTTTTGTTTGCTGCACATAATCTGCCCAATGACGCGTGACAGCCCACGTCCCCTCCCTTTAACTCTTTGCTGGGCTGGGCGCTCCCTCCCGGCGCCGCCTGCCTCGCAGCCTTCTCCCTGGCCTGCCCGCACCCCGCGGATCCCGAGCGCCTTCCCCGAGTGGCAACGTCTCTCTGATAGCGGCTTGGCCTGCCTCCTCCACAAGCTTGGGTCCTGTGGGATGGCTATGAAAGAAAATCAGTCTCTGGATCGGAAAGGAAGGTACCAAAAGGACTGGAAGGAGCGTTTCCCCCCGTTTCACAAGGCACTGGGAGAACCTGTGACAGACAGCCGGACACTCAGGGCGCACGCGGGCCCCGCGCACCCATCCCCAGAGTTCGAGTTCTATGAGAAGGGGACGGGGGCGGGGGGCGGATTAGTCCCGAGGGATCTTCTAGTCGTTGTGCGGCTGCAGGTTTTGCCAAGCTGGGTGCTTGGGTGGTGAAAAACAGGCGCCAGCTCTCTTTGGGAGCGCTCACTCCCAATCCTTTCAGCGCACAAAATTCAAGCAAGGATGCGCTTTGGTGAGAACTTGGCTCAGCCTTCCCAGGAGAGGGAGTAAAGGAATAGAGTGGGGCCGCCCCCAGATCTCACAAGGGGCCTGTGGGTTCCAGGACACTATTACTTGGGCTGCGGGTGGGGTGCGGGCTACAAAGAACCCCGGCTACAGAGTTTAAGCTGTTTCTGCTCTTTTACCCTCTGCATGTGTGTTCTGCACGCAGTCCCGAAGGGGTTCAATCATGGGAGCGGCCGGTGCTCTAAGATTGTGGGGTGAGGGGAAGGGTAATGCAAAGTAAAAATTATTACCACGATAGGCTCCCGAGAGCTTTTCGCGTCCAGCCGGTGCGTGCTGGAGGAGTGGATGGAGTTGCCGTTGCTGTCTCTGGAGCCTCGTTTGCGCGCGAGCCACTTAGAGGCGCTGGCTGGCCCCTTTAGTGCAGCAGCTGATGCTAATGAGTTGAGGTCTTTAACAGCCTGAAAGTTGACTCCTTCAACAGGGGTCGCAAGGCAGTGTCGCTGAGGGAACCTTGTGTTCTTTTTCGCTGTTCAACCCTCTACTACTTTGAGTGAAATAGATGGTCCCTCACCTCCCCCAGCCCCACCCACACCACCACCCCATTGAAGTCTGCAATCTGTCAGCTTTAGGATAAATCGGACTGTGCAGCCTACTAAAGTGGACCAGGCACAACCACACCTTAAGGAGGAGGGAAGGAAAAAGCCTCGTTTATTTCCAGGGTTGAAATAAGGTGACTAGATTGGGGGTTGTCAAAAGGCGGCTTCCTGCATCACTCTGATCCTCTCAGAGCTCTGAGACCTCTTCTCGGAACCCAGTAGGTCAGCAAGGCACAGAACACCTCTCCTTGAAAGTGCCTGCCCTCCAAGAAAGCCAGGCAAGGGTGTTGCCCAGGAGAAATGAAGAGTGCAGATTTCCCACTGAGTTCTCTTCATTCACCTGCCTGCCCTGTTCCTTCTTCTTTTCTGCTTCGCATCTCATGAAAGTGCCAAATCCTTCTGATCAGACAGGGCCACTACCCAAGATTAAGCTGGGGCCGAGAGAAAGAAGGGTTGCAATAAGGACAGAGGTGCTCACTTAATTTCCACGTTAGCCACTGACTTCTCAAAGTAAGTATCTTACACTGCAATTCTCTTCTGTTTAGATGGCATTTCTCTTATATGAATATGTACAGATTTAGTTCGGCAAAGGGTCCGTGCAAGGAGTGGCGTCACAATTCTGTGTATAAGAATCTGCAGCTGTATTTAGCTGCCATTTGTCTTATGGCTGTGGCTGCTCCACTAAATTCCAGATCTTTCGCTTCCTCACTCTCTCAGGTGAAAGCACTCCTGCCCACTACTTCTTTAAAAGAAGAGTGGAAGGGTTAGAAATGTTGAAAGAATTGTCTCAAACATCTGGAAAATAATCCTCAGGGTTGAATAACAGTGACCAGAAACTTAATGTGGATTCAGAAAAGAAAGAAGAAAAACAAAAGGCAAGACAGGCACAGGTGTAAATAACAGCAGATTAACAGAGAAAGAGCCCAAGAGAGGTGAGGTGCCTTAGACACTGCAGCCTGTTACAGGCCATATTGTGCCCTGGGGCCGGGTGGAGAGGGCAATGTTCAAGACCTTCATTCTGCTCATCTGTTGAACAGAACACTCCACAATGCCTTCCTGTGCTATCATTTAAAGAATAATAAGTGTGTCTTTCCCTGGAAAAGTCATCTGTCCATGCAAGCCACTTTTGAGAAGTCCTTTTACATACTGTAAATATAAAGCCATCCACTCCAGAATGTGGGCATTTAGAAAACAAACTCTAACTGGAAGATGTATCTCTTGTGCCTGGTCTTTCTCCTCTTACATACAGAGTATTCAGATGGTGTCTCCTTGAAAGTACTGAAAACTTGGCTACAGTTTGCATAACAAACTGTAGATAAACAATGTTTCTGATGCATAAATTGTGGGTGGAAGAGCTTGACCTTCCAAAACTCAGGCTATAAAAGAACTACAATTCTATACAGCAGAGAGGAGAGAGATTCATTGAGAATCTGCCCATTAGGAATCTCTGTTTCATTTCACTCCCACCTCCCCATTAATTAGATTTCTCCTCTTGATTTCAGGTAAAGATCCCTAAATAAATTATATTTCTCACATTTTATGAACCCTATCAATTCTTTGTCTTTCAGTTTAAGTGACTACCATAACCGATACTAAGTAAGGGTAAGACTAAGTTGAAATTCCTACTTGGGGAATTTTCCAGTATTTTAAGTGGTATGCATTTTGCTTGGTATTACAAATGCTCTAAATGACAATTATTAACATGAAATAAAGAAAATCTACAATTATTTTCACTTCTCTTTCAATTTATGGGCTAAAATGGTGCATAAACTAGTTTGAAATCACTGTGCGTTATTACTTCCTGGAATTCAATGATACTAAATGAAGGGTTGAGGCATTTATTCAGCTTTGGATAGTACTATAAAAATGCACCCCAGCCAATAGTTTTATGAAATTCACATGGAACAATGGGTTTATGCATATATTTGAGGCTCTTTTCCCCGAGATTTTATTTCCAATTAAATGATTAGAAGGAAGACAATGAAGAGTGGGTATGCTCATCTTGCTCCACCTTAGCAAGGTTTCTTGCAGTCATAGTAAAAAATCATGGGTAGACAACTGCAGGGTTGTCTTGGAAGAGAAGGCTGGAGAGAGCTTGATGAATGATCCCTGAGGTAGAGCCTTTTATGATCTAAGTGAGAGGGTGGAGAAAGGGTCAGAAAGGAAATCGGGTTCTGAGAATTAGATTGGGAATGCCTTTCCTCCTCCCACCCAAGACTGAGAAATAGGGCCCCAAATTTCTTAGCTGTAAGAATAGCTCATTTAAAGATAATTACCTATGTGAATGGAAACAGCACTTTCTCCCCCCTCCCTTTTTTTTTCCCCCTAGGTCTACCTCCCTCTAATCCTATTTTTCAAAGCACTGTTCTAGCAAAGGCTTGGTAGTCAAAAGAGTATGGCAATTCACGGTGAAAGGAGAAACACCCTGGAAGACAGGAGGATGCCAATGAAGCAGACGGGCGGCAGCTCTTTCCTAAGCTTATTATTTCTCACAGGGAAGCCTCTGGAGGGGACTACGATGGTTGAAGGAGGCAGAGAACGGAACTTGAAGAAGCAGCATTGCATTATCCCACCTCAGCATGCAGAGTATCGAATTTTCTTAGGGCTAAACTTGATTGACTAGTTGTACATGAAAGAGAAACAAATGATGGGTTGTTGGTTTGAGGAAAAAACAGTCCTAGGCCAAAAATATTCAGAAGGTTGTTCACTTGTTTCCTACCATTCTACCTTTATCAGAGGATGATACGTGATAGGTTTAAAAGGGGGGGGGAGGTTATCTCCATCTGTTAATTATTTCATTTTACAGCTTGATGAGTCAAGAAAAGGCAGACTTGCTGAGTAGATGAAAGTTCTCAGAGAGAAAGAAGGATTTGGATCTGTTCCTCATCCTAAGAACTGTAGTTGGCTCACCAGGTGAAATGAGTGAATCTTTCCAAAGCTAGACATGGGAGAGCCGGAGACTCAAGGGTGGATAATTCTGTAGCCTCTGAGGAAGATCTTCAGACTCCTAACTGTAGGGATCATTACTCCCACTCACACTTCTCCTTCCTTGGCATTTCCTCCTTCCCAATAAATGGTACTATTTGTAATGCTGCTGCTGCTGTGGCTGCTGCAGTTACCACTACTGTTGTCATCATGGTTACTGTCTACCTTTCCTAACTTTCAAATTTTCCCAGGTTCCACTTGTGCTTCTGATGGAGTTCAGCTGGGAGTTGAAGAGTCTTTGAGAGCTTTGTATTATCATTCATGTCCTCTCCTGGATCTGGGCTGTAATCAACTTGCTTAACAGCTTCTGTGTAGGACCTCACCCAAGTGATATTGGCAGCCACTACCACAGATCTGAAATCAATGCCTCACTCTCACCTCTGTTAGAGTGACTTGTGGACCAAATCCCATATCTAATATCCTGACACTGACTCGCCAGGCTTTTACACCCCTCTGCAGATGGATGTAGAGAGATCTGGCTGGGAAGGAATAACCTAGTTTTCTGCAGGTTCCAATGTCCCTTTCAGACTCCAACATCACAGATCACAGTAGGGAGGTAGATGGAAGGGAAGGAACTATGGCCATGTCACAGTCAGCTACTCTGAGCCTCCTTAGCCTTTGTGTCCAGCAGTCCCCTATGGGTATTTAGCTGTCTCAATTGAAATTTTGAGAAGACCGGCAATAGGCCTTAGGAATGTTACCAAACTAAGAGAGCTGCATCAAATTTCACAGAGCCCAGAGGAAGGACATTATTTTAGGATTTGATAGCTGGGCCTCACCAATTGTCTTCTTTGTTTTAGGCTATATAGAATCCCTGAGTTTAAAAGGGAGGCACTGTTGGACACACAGAGTGCATATGCCAGGTAGATTATTCCTTGGCACCTGATCCCTGCCAGCCTTCTGAGTTGTGGCCTTAGGATGTGAGACATTGAGCTGCTGGGGAATGAGCAGCAGAAAGCATCACTCTCCTGGGAAAGGGATATAGGCAGAGGACTAACATGGTCACATGTTTAACCTGGGGTCCACCCTCCAGGCCTTGAGGAGAGAGATGTCTGATTTTCTCTAAGGAAAAGAGAGACTAAATAAATAAATAAATGGATTCGGGAGGGTAGATATCAACTAGTAACAACCACAACAGTGATGATTCATATTGCTTTGTTAGAGACTTGAAAACACAGTTAATTAATTCATAAATTATGTTCTCATTCCCACACTGCCCCTGCTCATATTGCCTATTGGATTGTTCGAGGAAAAACCATCTTTTCCAATTTCAATTCAAAGAATCACAGGTATTCCATGACAATCCAGGGGAATGAATTTAGTGTCCATGGGGGAATCTCTCCCCAAACAGCATATGCAAAGACTGTTCAGCTTTCAACAGGGTTTCAAAAGCACCTTAAAACTACCAGTGTAAGTCTTCTTCTCAATGGCAACACTGGAAGAAATGGTCACCTAAGAACTCACAGATCAATGTCAATGGTAACAACATCTCTACTAAAAACAGCACTGGATATACATTGTGAAGTAGAGGAAATGATAAAGCATGCATGGGGAGGACTGAAAGTTGTATACATCACCTTGAACTTGCTGTGTGAAAAGCTGCTTTCCAGATGGATTTGATAGTCTCTGGTCTTCTAATATAATGACCAAGATATAATTCAGAACCTCCTTTAAAGAAAGCTCATACTCTACAAATACTTAGATTTGCCAAATCAACCCTTCAAAAAATTCCTGAAAATAAATATATTGAACATAACGGCCTCGAGATACCCTAGGCCTAGAATTCCATCTAGATTGGGACAATTTTATACCTGCTCAGAGTGGTCTTCTGTGTGTGGGGAGGGGGTGGGAGGGTGTGAAAATGTGTTTAAGAGATGGGAGAGAATATCATCAAAGGTAGCAATTAAAAATAAAGTTCCAGGCTGTCACTTTCCTGGGTTGCATATTCATAACATTCAGTCTTCCTTGTAGCCTGTTTTCATGTCAGATGGTTTTGAGAAAGTAGTTTTTGTGAATCAAACAGGAAGGTTATTGGACTTACATAAGCCAATGGAGTAGACTAACAAAGAATGTATTTGCTGAGTCTAGTTTTACTGTGTAATACCTAGTGTGTGTGATCAGGTACTTTACAACATTCCACAGTCTACCTGAGGCCCTAGGAAGCTGGTTCCAGACACAGGAAAGGAGGGTCCCCGAATTTGTAAAATAAGGTCCTTGGACTGGTGTTCTGTTTCCAAGGACCCTCCCAGCTTAATTTGAGGCCAAAGTTTAAGCAACAAGGCCAAGCACAACAGGGCAATTCCTGCTATGGGAATTCTCCAGGGTCCACGTGTGAGTAATAGGCACAGGGACGGAGCTGGAGTGCAAAGAAAGCCCAAGGGCGTGCCTTCCTATAGGTATCCCTGGGAGAGCCCCAAAGAGGGTGCCCCGACAGTCCCGGGAAGGATACACATCTCTCCCACCAAACAGTGCAGAGTCCTGACCCAGGACGCCACGCGGGCAGAACTAGACAAGCCGCCATCCGCCGAGGAAGCGGCAGGTGCAAAGCGTGAACGGGGGTAAGGAAGATGCCTCGCAGCGCGCTCAGGGCTAAGCAGGAGCGAAGGGTAGTTCCCAAGGGTCGGCCACGTCTTCCATCGTCTCCAGCCTCCTATCGCCTTTCCGGAATCAGTGCCAACACTTGCCTCCTGCCTTGCCGCGGCCAGGAAAGGCGTTCGCGAAGGCGGGGCCGCAGGGAACAGCCACGCTCCTTTCACCACCGCCGCCCTGCTGCCTGCCTACAGCCTTGCCCAGCTGCTCCCCGAGCTTCCTCGGGCCGAGCTCGAGCCTGTGTTCCAGTCTCTTCCCGACCCAGCGCAGCCTCGGTTCTCCTCCAGTTGAGCTAACGCTGGCACGAGCTGCCTCCCAGATCGCAGACAGGGCTCGGGGAGGGAACGAGGGCGAGCGCGCTTTGGAAAGCCAGTTGCTGAGCAGATGGTAAGGGATTACTTCCAAGAGCCGGAGCTGGTTTCATTTCAATCTTGGACATCGCGAGGAGGTCTCAACGCCTTTATTAACGAACATTCTCCTTAGAAGCCCGGAAAAGTGACCTTAGCAGAAGGACCAACAACACCGGCTCGGACAATCCCACAATTCCGCCAGGGAAACTACAGTGCACGGGTTCGAATCCCAGCCCTCCACTGGTAGCTTAATCGGTGCGTGCTTCAGGTCTCCATCTGTGATCCTAGGGCTAAAAGGGAACCCTCTCCATACAGTTCTTGTGAGCGCTGGCTTGATGCTTAGCAAGAGTTGGCACCTCGTAAATGTGCCTATTGTTACTAACACCGCCTGCGCTTCCTCCCTAGAACATTTGGGAAGTGTGTCGGCGCCGGCTTTGAAAGGGAACCAGGCAAGGCTGCCCGGAAGGAAGTATTGGAGGACAAAGCAGGCACGAGGAAGCTGTTCCAGGGATCCTTTCTGTGGCCGAAGGGCTCCGAAGTGCCACCCACAGGCAGTTACCCGGGCCCTCCGCACGCTCCACCTGCCTAATGGAAGAGCAACTACTTTGCGGCCCGGTGTGGGAGGTGGAGAGCAGACTTCTGCCCCGATGTGCACTTCCTCAAGTGCTTTCTTTAGGCCTGGCAGGGTGTGGCGGGTCCGGGTCTGGCTGCAGCGAATCTCAGGTCAGTCAGAGTGCCCAGGGCTGCTGCAGGGTCACGAAAAGTGTGTAGATGTGCGGCTGGTTGGCTGGAGCCCCACGGCCCGAAGCGCGCCGCTCACCAGATGCGCTCAGACGAGCACGGGGGGGGGGGGGGGAGGCAACCCTGGCTCTCCACTACACCCAAGACCCGGGGGCACCGTGGGCCCAGCGGCTGGTGCCTGGTGGGTTCTCCCGGTGGCCGACCTTAGGTTCCACCTTAGGTCCCAGGTACCGCCTCCGCGCCCCCGCAGCCCAAAACAAGCGCTCCCCTCTCCTCACACCTACCGCTTCCGGCTCTGGGGCACCCACCACCCGCTGACAGCGGTAGGTCATTTGCTCTTCATTTTGAAAGAGCCAAGACACACAGCTGAGAGCTAGAAATTGGGATTGTGAACAGGGTTGAGCAGGGTTCTTCAGTCTGCTAGCTATGTGTCTTGGGGCAAATCACTTAACCCGTCTGAACTTTGGTTTCCTCTTTTGTAAAGTATGTAGAGTGGCTATGAATACTGCAGGGTTCAGAGCCCAGCTGGGCCACTTGCTTGGGATAACTCAGCATCTCTGTGTTCCCTTTCCTGAGAAGCAAGGGGATCTGTGGACTAGGGGTGATGACACTCCTTAGCTCAAAGGGTTCCCAGTAAGAAATAAGTGGGAGGGGTTAGCAGCGCACTCAGTCCAGCACAGGCGAAGAGCCCAAAAGTGACTATTTAAAGCATTTCAGTGTGTGCCACCTTGGAATGTTGGGCAACATCATTTTTCAATCTTAGCCCTCCCTCCTACCACACTTTCGCTCTTTGGAGAGAAACAGGACATCGAGGTACATGTTGGAGTGTGGGGTAGAAGTACAGTTGGGAGCAATTTAGGGATGCTTCTGGTTGCCCAGTACCTGTCCCTCTGGCCTTTCCTCTTCTGTCTCTAGGAACAGGATAACAATTTTAAAAAGGCAGGGAAAGGGTGCTGGGAACATGAAGGGCTTGACAAATGTTTCCTGGATCAAAAGATGGCATTTCAAAGATCAGGGAGTGTGGCTGAAATGGGAATGGAGACACAGTGTCGGGATTGGCTGTTACCTCGCAGGGGCTAGGCTGCCGGCAGGCATCTCCATATGACTCTATGCTATGGCCCCTGAGAGAGAGGTGACACTGCTGTAGGTTAACAGGTTGTGGGACAGGAGTCAACCCCTCTGCATATGGAGATAGGCACACTGCAGCTGGGATGTGCCCTGAGTCAAGAGAAGTACAACTCAGGTGATGGGAAGGACAGAAAAAAGATAAAGATGGGTCTGAGGTCGAATTAGGCCTCTAGAAGATGGCTAGAGCCTGTATATTTCCCAAAGTTGGAAACTGATTCTGGAACCCAAAACCTTACATCTGCAGGCATCCCGCAATTGTGTTCACAGCTCAGAACCTATGGGAGCCGGGAAGTCCGCATAATCTTCTCTCTGCTTCAATACAGCACCACCCTCTGACTTTTTGAGTGGGAGAACATCACCTTTTTTTGCTTTGTTTTTGTTCCTAATAGAATAATGGAGGATGATTTTTAACCCAGCAACTAACAGGGCAACAAGGAAAACACGCCCCAAACAGCATTGGCCACTCCAACCCTTCTCTTTGGCTCCTGAGGGCAGAGAATGCTGATGTAGCAACAGCAACCTGGGGTATTTCAGAGACTCTGAGCTCTCAGTCTGCTCTCCCCTCAGATCCCGGCTGAACTGGGCTATTAGCAGAAAGCAGAATAAAATAAAACCAGTTCCTCCGGGTTCAAGCCCTTGGAGCAAAGGAGACACTGGTGAGAAGGAACCACAACTTGGAAAAAGATTTATTTTTCCTGGCCATAAATCTCATCCCCTTGTTCCTCTGCCCACCGAGGCATGATAAAGTCCTTTTCCATAAAGTATTCAGCATTAGAGCCACAAAGCTCCCCCAATCAGTAGCCATCTGCTTCTCCCATAACTGCTGCTCGCGAAGCAGGCAAAGCAGCCGCGGAGAAAGGGCTCCACTGTTAGGCTGCTGGACAAATGAGGCGCCTGAATAGCTTTGGTTCTCCTTGTGTATCTGTATCTATAGAGACAGGAGAAGAAAGGCTGCATTCTATTGATACAACAATTGTAAAACAAAACACGGAAGAGGCATCTAAAGGGCAATATCGCATGCATCAGGGGTCCCCAGATAAAAGGGGCGCTAACAGATTTATAGAAACCTTTAATTGGTTTTCAATTGAAAGCTAAAGAGGCTGGGGCGAAGCTGTGAAGAGTGGCAAAGTGCTCTCCTTCAGCCGTCTGGAGGCGTGATCGATTTCACGGAGGAGAAAAGAAGAGCCCCACACCCGCCCCGGCGCCTCTGCGGGGGCAGGGAGCGACCGCGCGTCACGGCTTTCCTCCTCGCCGGCAACTTTCTGAGCCGGTCTCTCTAGACTCCCTCTCCCTCCCTCCCTCCTTCTCTCTCTCTCTCTCTCTCTCTCTCTCTCTCTCTCTCTCTGTGTGTGTGTGTGTGTTGTGTGCGTCTCATTTCCTCCCTCAGACCAGCAGGCGACTGCAGAAGACGAAGCAAGGACTGCAAAAGTAAATCTATCTTCCCATTCCCGAAATAAACAGACCCCAACCTGCTCTCCCGCCAGCGCAGTCGACTCTAGGAAAAAAAAAAAAAAAAAAAAAAAATCCGTGCTGGCCTCACCCTACCCCAGCTCTGTGCTCGCGCTCTCTTCCTAGTCGCCCACAGGGAAAGCTAACAATTCCAAGACCCTCCGCACTGGGCGCGCTGAGAGTCCGCGGGCGCCCGCCAGGTGCGTCTCCGTCTCCGAGCCGCCCCCTCCGCTCCGCCCGCGCGGAGCCGCGAGCCTTGCTCTTCGCCCCTCCCCGCACAGCCTGGCCCTCTAAGGGCCCACAACGCCCACCCACGCGGCAGCCCGGGGCGTCTGTCCGTCTGCTCCTAAAACTAATTTATTGGCCCGACCCTCCACGATCGTTGTCGACTCCCTAATTAATCAAAGATAAAAAGCAATGGCGCAAATTACGATTATGAGGGAACGGGAAGACGGCTTTGAATAAAATGGTAGAAAGGAAATAGGATTAATTGAACGACAGGATAGTGAAATCCCAAGTGCGAGCAACAGGCCCCCGGGGGATCAAACTCCGCACTCCGGCAGCCCGCCTGCCCTGGCGCCGCCGCCAGGGGACAACCCCCACATTAGATCACTGGGGCCCAAAGCCTCGGCAGCCTCGGAGCCAGGGGTCCAGCCCACGTGGGCTCTCCACGCCGCTTGGCGCTGCTGCACACCCGCCCCTGCCGATGCTGGGGACCCCAGGCGGGCGAGTCCGCACCCTGGGAGGCGCGCCTTTGGGTGGAAGCGCGCCGGGCGATGCGCTCCTGCGCCGCGGGCTGCTCTCCGTTTTCCCTGTGCTTTCGCTCGTTCCGCCACCGAGGCGAAGTCTCCATGAAACTGCAGGGAAACAGGCCGCGTGTAAGGATTAACGGCGCCCTTGTCTGGTGCCGCTTTCCAGAACTGCGCTCGGGATTAAAAGGCGGACACCGCACCGGCGCACATGTAGCATTCGCTCGGCGTTGTGATTAATGTTTGCGAGAGGATTTACGCTGGGAGCTTACTGCCGTGCTCCCGGAGGTCCAAAGCCCGGGGTCCGACTCGCAGGGGGCCCTGGCTGTGAGCACGCGCCGGCACGCGGGGGATTACAGCGGGCGTCACGTGGGCGCGGGGGTGGCCGCTCCTCGTCTCCGCGGGTCAGGACCTTGTCTCTTCCCTTTCTCCACGCACGGCGCGACGGCTTACAACGAGGACTGCCCAGCCCCGGGGGAGGCTGGCGTGAGGTCTTAGTGGGCGGGGTGCGGGGGGGGGGCGTTGTAAAGGGAGAGTGCTCCCGAATGCCTGACTTTGGGGTGGGGAAGGGGATCCGGACCGAGTCCCTGAAGATCACGCCTATCCATAACCACCTCAGGGTCCAAGCGTCAGAATGAGCTTAACTTCAGCTAGCTGCCACTTTCGGGGAGCTGACACCCAGGAGGGCACCTGTGGAGTGGGGCCAGAGCCTGGGCCCCCTCTGCCGCCCCGCCTCCCAGCGGGCATGGCTCCTCGAGCCGGCGCAGGGACTGAAGAAGGGACAGTCCCAGGAGGACCAGGGGAAAGCGGGCGGGGGCAGGAAACCAGGCTAACAAATCGAAGACGCAAATTGGAAGTGAGCGAGAGGAGGTGCAGCGAGGAGAGGTGCAAAACGGGGAAGCGGGTGGTCGCAGCTGGTGGCGGGCATTACCGCTCTCCGGCAGAAGGGGGCGCCTTCCGGGCCGAAACCGCCTTCTGCTGGGCTGGCGCCGGACTCCAGGCCCAGCCCGCCTCCGGCCCCAGCTCCGAGCTGCCGCGCGCCCCCTCCTGGCTGTGCGTGGCCGTTCCCCCGCTGCGCTGTGGGGGCTCTGGACCAGGGACTGTTGCGGCCCAGGACCCGGCTTCTTCGACGGCGAGAGTGGTCCCGGGACGCTCAGGACCCCCACCCCACCCCACCCTACCCTACCCCCGACCTCGGCCCATCGGCTTCCTTACCTGCGGGTGGCGGGGCCGCTTTCCCGCAAGCGCAGCTCCCGCCGGCCCGGCGCTCTCGCCCCCTCCGCAGCCTGCCCCGGAGCCCGCCCGCCTCGCAGAGCCGTCCGGGTCTCTGCCGTAGCAGCTGGGAGGGAGGGAGCGACCGCCGGCTGCTGCCGGGCGGCGTCTGGGGGGCCGCGAGCCGAGCGCGAGGAGCCGCCATCTGGAACCTCGGCCGCGGGCGGGGTGGGAAGGGGTGCGAAGGAAGGGGCCTGGAGGCTCGGCCCGCGGCGAGCGAGGGGGCGTCGGCGCCTCGGCCGCCCGAGCGCTTGCGTGCGTGTCATGGGGTGAGAGAGGGATGATGATGGGGGTGCGGCGCCTGGGGGAGGAGGCCCCCGGATCCCGGGGCGGCGCCGACGGGCCTGGGAACCTGCTTGACAGCCCCCATTCCCAACCATTTGCCCCTGGGGGTTGGAAGCGCCAGGAAGGCGCGGGGCGGGGTGGGGGAGGCCCAGGCACCCCGGCACGCGCGCATAGGACGTGGATTTCCCTCTTCCCTCTCCTCCGGCCAGGTTCATCCCGCTGCAGGAACATTCCTCTCGGACCGGCCCGGGACCGGCACGGATGGTGCCCTGGGGGAGACCCCGCGGCGGGCGGTGTTGAGGAGGGAGCCGCGGGCATGTGCTGTGGGAAGCGCGTCCTTAAGAAGAGATGAAGGGGGGGTACCTCCTCTCCGCTCTTGACATTTCACTGCCTGAAAGTCCTGGCCTTTCTTTCACTTTGCAAATCTTTCCCTTTTCCTGAGGCCGAGTTGGGGTGGGGAGCCAGCTCCCTGAGGGTGGCCCCCCAGGAGCACGGGGCGGGCCCGGGGGAGGTTCTGTGAGAGCTCGGGCGCTCCAGCTTTGGCGCTGTCTCTTAGAGAGACGCCCCCAGCCACAGAGCTTAGCCCCATGTTGGGGGCTGGTTGGACATATGGACAGTGGCGGGTGGTCGGAATTAAAAAAATAAATAAATAAAGGCAGACCCACCGCCACCCCAAGGCATCAAAAGACACCCCTCCCTCCCCCCAGCTGTCTCGTGTCCGGCAGAATGGCATTATGTAAAAGATCTGGCATGTCACCCAGTGGCACATCTGGTAGGTGTAGATGGCATTCATTAGCACGGGGCTTCTACTCCGCAGCATGCCAAAGCTCTGACAGAGATGCCCGCTGCCAATCATTCATTGGCTGCCAATCCCAGAGCGCGGCCGGGCGCGATGGCTCCCTTCCACTCTGGCACCGGGACGGAGGAAACAATGTGTTGGGATCAGAAGAGATGAAAGCCGAGCTGAGGAGGCGAGGCACCCAACAGATGTATCCCGTGAGGAGATAACAGAGCGAGGAGTCATTTAGCAAGAAAGCATATGCAGGGGCTCAGGAGGGAGGCTGGGGCAGGGGTCTGCCTGCCTAGGGCTGAGCCGAAGGAGGGGCCAGGGGACCCCTTCAGAAGCCTGGAAGTTGAGGTTGCCTCTCTGAAACCTCATAAACACCCAACCCCAGCCCCTCTGATGTAGGACTTCTGTTTGTCTGGTTTGTCTGCTGTACCTCTAGCTAGACCTAACTCTAGTTAGCTTTCAAAATGAAGTCAGAACATATTCCTAAGGTAGCTGGCAAAAATGCCAATTAATTAGCCTTTGCAACAAAACTGTGATATAATGTATTCCGAAATTTAATTGGGATAAAAGAAGCTACTCTTGTTAAAAATATGACTTTGAGTCCTATTTCTGTTGCGAGGTGTGTGGTTTTGGGTCTTTTACTTCCCTAAATATTTCTTCATCTGTAAAATGGGTTAATAATTATAATACCTTGTGGAGTTCACGTGAGGCTTAGAGATCAAGACATGTATAGAAAGGTTTAACATGCAACATTCGTCATAGAGACTCAGCAAGAAACAGGATTACACACAAATGGATCTTACCAAGAGGCTATTTAGCAAGTGTGGCAGGGTTAGGGGAACAAATGAGGTGATGAGTGCTATGGTTTGAATACACTGCAGCCCCTCTGAAACTCATATTGAAATCTGATTCCCAATGTATTGGTGTTGAGAGGTAGTGGAACATTTCAGACATGACCGGGTCATGGGGGAATGACTCTCATGAATGAATGAATGCCATCCCAGTGGTGTTACAGATTGAGTCCAACTTGCTCCCCAAAGTCTGAAGTCTTATTGTTAAGGGCTGATAGATTACAGGTGGATACTGGGAGCAGGGTCTAGGTGGGAGGTCTTTAGGTTGTTGGGAGCTTGCCTTGGGAAGGGGGTTCCGGGAAGAGGGTTGGTAATTTAAGCTGTGTTCAGCCCAGCGTCTCTCCCTGCCTCCTGGCCCATGACGTGATCCTTGCCCTGCCATTTCAGCCCCCATCAGACACTGGAGTAATGGGGCCACCTGATCCTGAATATGAACCTCCAAACTGTAAGCGAAAATAAGCCTTTTCCTGTCCTAGAAGCTCCTCTCAGGAATTTAACTAATTAACAAAAAACTGACCAAGTGCAAATGGGCTTGTTCTCATGAGTGTATCTTATTATTATTTTTATTATTATTATTATTATTATTATTATTATTACTATTACTTGAAAGGCAGAGTGACGGTGAGACAGAGACAGATCTTTCTTCCATCTACTAACAGTTCACTCCCCAGTGCCTTCAATAGCCAGGGCTGAGCAGGCCAAAGCCTGGCCTGGAACTCCATCAGGGTCTGCTAAGTTAGTGGCCAGGACCCAAGCTCTTGAGCCATTACTTACTTCCTCCCAGGATCACATAAGCAAGAAGCTGCATGGGAAGCAGAGCTGGGACTTGAACTCAGGAACTCTGACACGAGATGAAGACATTCCAAGTGGCATCTTAACTGCTGTGCCA